TTCGGCTGTCGAGAGGTCGCGGCGCCCAGGCGCGGCGCGCCGCAGGGCAGACGCCGCGACAGAGCGGCGCGCGAGCGTGCCGGAGGCGGATGGGCGGCCCCCTGGCGGGCCAGCATCAAGGGGGCGGAGATCGAGACGGAGCTGGAATTGACGCCGGCGGCGGCGATGATCACCCGGGCCAAGAACGCGCGGGTCAGCGAGTCCAGTCGCGTTCTCGCCGGCGCAGCCTGTCCTTGGCAGGTCCCAGCAACTGCCGCGGAGCTTGCTCGGCGATCTCGGCCGACCCCAGCTCGCCGCCCGCGCGCGGCGCAGCGGAGAGCGACTCCAATATAACGAAGCGCCCGCAGGTCTACAGCGCGGCCCGGGCGGCCCGAAGGAAGATCGGCGCCGGCGCGCGCGGGGCCACGAGCGCTCGCGGTCGCCAGGCGCCGCCAAGTCGCGGCGCGAAGCTCGGTGGCGCGGTCTAGTTTTATTGCGAAGGTGATAGAAATAAGATCCGTCGCAAGGGCCCGTCGCCGTCGTTCAAGGCGCGGAGCGGACCCGCCGTCGTCGCCGTCGTCGGCGTCGCGCCAGCGGCCGCCCAGGCGCCCTGCAAGGTCCTCTCGACGAAGCGCGAAACAGCCGCGGCACGACGCCCCTCGCCGGCGAGGCTCGGCGACGCGGAGAGCGACGAGCAGTCGAACGCGGGCGATGCCACCCGGGCCCAAGAGGAAGTCGCAGAAGCGCAGGTCGAGGAGCACCCAGTTCCGGAGAGCGGCTGCAGCAGTTGAGGAACGCGAGGACGACGAGACACAGCGACCCCCCCCTGGCGAGGCCACTGCGGCGGGCACGACTACTGCGATGGAAGACCCTGGAAACGACACTGCTACCGACAGAATCTCGCCGGAGGGGCTCTCGCGATTCTCGCGGAAGACCAGCCCCCAGCCGAGTGGGCGCTCGGAGTTAGGCAAGGTGGTGGCGCAGCGCATTCGAGCTCAAAGCGGCGACCCCGGCAAATCGACGGCGCCGCAAGTTGTCGAGGCCATCCAGAAGGGGGCCCAGCACTTCGAGGGTGCGAGCAAGGCGCGCGAACGACCCCCTCGACGAGGATGGACGCGACCGCCGTCGTCGAGCGCTGCAACGGAGGAGCCAGATGTTCAACGACCGCCTGCGGACGCACCTGCGCCTGCCTCGGCAACGGATGGATAGTTCGGCCCCCGCGGAAACTGCCCGCCCAGGGCGCCCCCGCCCGATGAAGCTCAAGAGACCGAGGCAACAGATGAGGCAGCGCCCGCGCAGACCCCCACCGAGGAGCAGCAGGGGGATCAGCGGCGCGGCCAGAAGCGCGACGCTGAGCGAGCTGAGTTACCAAAGGTCTCGTCACAAAGTGGAGGGGGTTGATCTCGGGAACCTAGGCGCCCGGGCGATGCGCCGTGGATCAAGAGCGCGACGAAGAACGAAGAGGACAGCGGACTGGCTCAACGAAGCGCCTGAGGTCGATGGGAGAAGGCTCCTGGACCACATGGCGCTGGTGACTCGACCAGATCCAAAAAAACGAAGCAATGCCAGAGCCAAACCAGGCTCGGAAGGGAAGGTCCGGAGTCGGATGGATCCGCCGGCCGAGGCAAACTACGAGTGGGCAGCGGCGTCGCAATGCAGCACGCGCGTCGACGCCGAGTCCGCGGAGGCGCTGCTGGAGAAGGAGTCGCTGGAGCTCGGGGGGCCGATGAAGCGCGAAGGCAAGGGCGACCGCATCCTCTGCGCGCGGTGGGCACTGACCGACAAGAACGATCCGCTGCGGACGGAGGCCAACGACCTCCCCCCGAGGGCGAACGCGAGAATCGCGGTCAACAGCGGCGTCCCTGGGCGCTCCGATGAGAAAGTCAACAGGCGCGCAGACGTCCCCTGCGCGACGACCCAATCGGAGATGATCCTGACGCAAATGACAGCTTCTCATCCGGAGTGGGCGTTCGGCTTCAGAGATGCAAGTGGCGCGGTCCTGAAGGGCGAACGTGGCCTGGTGATTCGTGCACCTAATCATGGACTGTCGCTTTCTGACATTTCTCGAGGTCGCCTGGCACCAGTTCGGAAAGGTCTGTTCGGGCTCCCGGCCGCGCCTAGGTTGCAGCATCTGGTGGCGGTGGCGGTTGAGCGCAAGCTGGAACTGAAAGATTCACGAGGCGACCCCCCCTTTCTGGTTCTGCACGACCCGAAGGTGAAGAAGAGAGGCCCCAACAGCCTGTGGGGACGCGTTTGCATTCTGGTGGGCGACGCCGGACCGGCAACAAGAAAATGGCGAAAGTGACGGACGCGCCGGGCATGGAGTTCGCCTTCAGGAGTGAGGAATACCACGATTGCGTGTTCTGCGGCCGAAGCCAGCCCGGGGGAGCCATCAACATCGACATGATGGAATACTCAGCAGGACTGCAGCCTGTGACTGTGCCCAATTCCCGGGGAGCAGACGCACACCTGCCCATGAACGCGCTAGATCGGGAGCAGTACCAACAGGTGGCTGGAAAGACCAACTGGCTCGCGGCGAAACTACGCGTAGACCACCGGCGAAGTTGGAGGCGCGAGAAAGGCAGGAAAAAGGCTCAGAGGGTTTCGGCTTTGATCAAGACGAACCAGGCGCTGAGGGAACTGAGGCGCGGTTCGAGCTTCAAATTCACGATGCGTCCGATCGACCTGGAATGCGTCGGGCTCGGCAACGCGATGGGCAACTGCACACCTCTACAGCCCGACCCGGCCACTGAGAAGATCGGCACGAAAGGCGGCTACCTGATCTTGTTCGTGGATCAGGAAGTTTTGGGCATGTTCTCTCTACTGGAGGGGGAGAGCCACAAGCTGAAGCGTGGGGCCAGGAGTTCCTACGCGGCTGAAAAGATCGCCGTAGGTGATGCAGTGGACGTGGCACAAGGCGTGAAGACTGGATCGCCGAGATGTTGTATGGCCCAGTGGAGAAAGGTGCTGGAATAAAACTGTCAGAAGGCAAAGTCTTTGTAAAGGTGGTGTCGGATTCCGAGGACGGACATGACAGGCTCGACTCAGACGCTGGCGTCGAAAGCTGTGCCCAAAAGTCAGTGAATTCGGGGCTTGCGAATATCAGCGATATCTTGACCACCCACAAAGAACTGCTCGCTGAAAGGATGGACACAAGATGCTGAGTGATGTACAGACCAAGAATATGCCCGCATATCAGCCGCGGGAAGCATTGGAGCGTGGAACATGGAGTATTGAGTTACGCACTGAATTGGTGAAGACAG